TTTCACAAATTATTGTAGCTTGGATAGCTTGCAAAAAAAAATTTTTTCGGGAACCTTTTCGTTCTATGAAACTTAAAGTTTTTCAAACCGCTTTACGATAATATGGCTTTACTTGATGCTCTGATCAAGCTATCCAAGCAATGAATATTTGAACAATTTCAAGTAAAGCCATATTATCGTAATGCTTGGATAGCTTGATCAGAGCATCAACTTACTTTTTGCCAGCAAATTGATTATTGGAGGCGCGCTTGCTAGTGATTATTGTTGACGTGAACAAAAGTTTCCTAACAGATAACTCACTTGAAAAAGTTTGTTTTCATCTTTTAAAATCTGTTGGTTCCCAAAGTCAAAATGAAGCCACAAAGCTCGTAAGACCAAAGTAGAGCGCTTAATCTATCTATTATTTAATTGGCGTTTCATTTGACACATGTTTAAGAAGTTTCTAAGTTTACATGTTTACGAAGTCCCCATGTTTGCCTATTCAAGCTCTTCAACGTATTGTTTTTGCATGTTTAACGATAGAGTTTTGGCACGTTTCAGCTATATCGTATATTAACTGCTTAAGAAATTTCATTTGACACAATTTTAAGAAGTACCTATGTTGTTCTGTTAAAAAGCCAAGACTTTGAAAGGGTTGAAAACTTAACTCAAGTCAGCGTTTCAAAATTTGTTGGAGCGCGAATGCTTCAACTCTTACATTTTTCCTATATTCGCAACGTAAAACTATCAAAATTTTTGTTTTACATTCTACTTAATAAATTTGAAACCCTTAACCCTGTTGTGGGGCGCTGTCAGGTTACACTCAGGGGTTGCAAGTCTGGCATTCAAGTATGAGTGCTCAAATCTTTTTGTTTTTGAGATATGGCGTTTTTTTATGATTTTTTTTTTCAAAAATTTAGGTATAAAAAAACTAACCGAAGTTGAAACTCTCAACTCTATACCGGGGTGCTGTCAAGGTGCCTTCAGTTGGTTGCAAACTTGCGTCGAAGTATGACTGCTCAAATCCTTTTGGTTTTCGAGATATGGCGTTTTTTATGATTTTATTTTTTTTTTCAAAAAACTTTCTTTTGTCAAAAAAGACAAAAAAACTTACCGAGCTTGAAGTTCTCAACCCTATAGTAAGGTACTGTCAGGGTAAACTCTTATTTCCCAGTTCTTTCTTCTAAATATGGCTGCTCATATCCTTTTACTTTCGTGATGTGGCTTTTATGATTGTTTTTTTTCTCTTTTTTTTCTTAGGTATAAAAACTTAAATATGAAAGCAAACTAATTGAACTTGAAATTCTCAACCCTAAGGCGGGGTCCTGTCAGTTACACATATACGTTGCAAACCTTCCCTCTAATCATGACTGCTCAAATAAGTCCTTGCGGCAATTTTTATGAATTTTTGCAATTTTTTTTTAAAGAAATTTGAATTAAAAAAAACTAAACGATCTTGAAATATATTCTCTTTTAATATGACTTTTTCCAGAAAACCAGTAGAAATTAAAATTTTTAACTCTATGGTGGGATGCTGTCAGAGAACACTATAGGGTAGCAAATCTGCCTTCTAATTTTATTTCAAAGTTTCATAGCTTGAAAAGCTTGCTTCGAAAACTCAAAGCGTTTCGCGAAATGATTCGATCTATGAAATAACTTCAAGTATTTCAAAGTTTTATAGCTCGATTTGCTTGCTTTGAAAAAAATTTCGCGCACTGAAAAACTTAAACTTTTTGCGAACAGATTTGATCTACGAAATAAGTTGAAAGAATTCATTTTTTTAGCTTGCTCAGAAAATTTATAGATTTTCGCGTACTGACTCGGTTTATGAAATAAGTTGAAGTATTTCAAAGTTGCATAGCTCTATAAGCTTGCTTAGAAAATTTTTTCGCGAATCGATTTAGTCCACGAAATAATCTGCAAAAGTTCAAAGTTTCATAGCTTGATTTGCTTGCTTCGAAAAAAAATTCACGGGTTGATTCGGTTTTTGAAATAACTTGGAAATTACTTGAAAGGCTTCAACAGAAAAACAGTTTGCCATCCGGTTAACTTTTTGAACTAACTTGAATTATTGAAAGTTCCATAGCTTAAACAGCTTGCTTAAAAAAAGTTAAATTTTTCACGAATTTTTTCAGTCTATGAAATAACTGGAATTAGTTCAAAGCATCATAGCTTAATAGTTTGCTTCGAAAAACTTATACTTGTTGTGAACCAAATCAGTCTATACAAAAACTTGGAAATGTTTAAAAGTTGGAAATTTTTTAAATAGCTTGCAAAGAAGAACTTGAATCTTTTGCGAACCAGTTCGCTCTTTGAAGTAGCTTGATTTATTTCTCTTCATAGCTTGAATAGCTTACTAACAAAAATTAATTTTTTTGCCAACTGATTCGTTCTATGAAACAACGGGATTTTTTGCTTGCTTTTATAGCTTGCCTAGAAAAACTTTACTTTTTTGCAATATTTGATTCGCTCTAAACAACGTGAAGTTTTTCACAAATTATTGTAGCTTGGATAGCTTGCAAAAAAAAATTTTTTCGGGAACCTTTTCGTTCTATGAAACTTAAAGTTTTTCAAACCGCTTTACGATAATATGGCTTTACTTGATGCTCTGATCAAGCTATCCAAGCAAAGAATATTTGAACAATTTCAAGTAAAGCCATATTATCGTAATGCTTGGATAGCTTGATCAGAGCATCAACTTACTTTTTGCCAGCCAATTGATTATTGGAGGCGCGCTTGCTAGTGATTATTGTTGACGTGAACAAAAGTTTCCTAACAGATAACTCACTTGAAAAAGTTTGTTTTCATCTTTTAAAATCTGTTGGTTCCCAAATTCAAAATGAAGCCACAAAGCTCGTAAGACCAAAGTAGAGCGCTTAATCTATCTATTATTTAATTGGCGTTTCATTTGACACATGTTTAAGAAGTTTCTAAGTTTACATGTTTACGAAGTCCCCATGTTTGCCTATTCAAGCTCTTCAACGTATTGTTTTTGCATGTTTAACGATAGAGTTTTGGCACGTTTCAGCTATATCGTATATTAAAATGCTTAAGAAATTTCATTTGACACAAATTTAAGAAGTACCTATGTTGTTCTGTTAAAAAGCCAAGACTTTGAAAGGGTTGAAAACTTAACTCAAGTCAGCGTTTCAAAATTTGTTGGAGCGCGAATGCTTCAACTCTTACATTTTTCCTATATTCGCAACGTAAAACTATCAAAATTTTTGTTTTACATTTTACTTAATTAATTTGAAACCCTTAACCCTGTTGTGGGGCGCTGTCAGGTTACACTCAGGGGTTGCAAGTCTGGCATTCAAGTATGAGTGCTCAAATCTTTTTGTTTTTGAGATATGGCGTTTTTTTATGATTTTTTTTTCAAAAATTTAGGTATAAAAAAACTAACCGAAGTTGAAACTCTCAACTCTATACTGGGGTGCTGTCAAGGTGCCTTCAGTTGGTTGCAAACTTGCGTCGAAGTATGACTGCTCAAATCTTTTTGGTTTTCGAGATATGGCGTTTTTTATGATTTTTTTTTTTTTTTCAAAAAACTTTCTTTTGTCAAAAAAGACAAAAAAACTTATCGAGCTTGAAGTTCTCAACCCTATAGTAAGGTACTGTCAGGGTAAACTCTTATTTTGCAGTTCTTTCTTCTAAATATGGCTGCTCATATCCTTTTACTTTCGTGATGTGGCTTTTATGATTGTTTTTTTTTTCTCTTTTTTTTCTTAGGTATAAAAACTTAAATATGAAAGCAAACTAATTGAACTTGAAATTCTCAACCCTAAGGCGGGGTCCTGTCAGTTACACATATGCGTTGCAAACCTTCCCTCTAATCATGACTGCTCAAATAAGTCCTTGCGGCAATTTTTATGAATTTTTGCAATTTTTTTTTAAAGAAATTTGAATTAAAAAAAACTAAACGATCTTGAAATATATTCTCTTTCAATATGACTTTTTCCAGAAAACCAGTAGAAATTAAAATTTTTAACTCTATGGTGGGATGCTGTCAGAGAACACTATAGGGTAGCAAATCTGCCTTCTAATTTTATGTGCTCAAATCATTCCGGTTTTCGAGATATGGCGTTTTTTATGAATTCTATGAAAAACCCCTGTTAGATCAGCCCAGTTTATCTTCACGGTGGCATTAAAAATCGCGGTTTTAGTACATGATTAAAGAAGTTTTTTTTAACGTTCAACGATCTATCTGAAGCACCGTAGGTGCGAGTCACGCGCTAGTTGTTCTGATTTTTGATTTTGACCAAAATCATTTGAATTTTGGAATATATGAAATTACAGTCAGCGATCAATATACTTTTCAAGGTGGAACAAATTCGAGTATAATCAAAGTAGAAAGTACAAATAAATTACAAAAAACTTGTGATAAAAGAGTTGAAAAACCAATGTCTAAATTTTTCTTCAGTGCAAACAGAATTAGCGAAAAGTACCGAAAAACGCATCAAGTGAAACTTTGACTATAATTACCCAAATAAATAACGAACGGTTGTGTAAAATATTCCCCGAAAACAAGTGAGTTAAACGGAAAAATGACTGTTGAGTTGGTGTAATTTCTTTAAAAAAGATGATTTTGCGCGGATATTCTTTCTCATAAATTGGATTAAAAACAATTCATATTAAAAGTACAGTGCGTAGGGAAATGGCACAACGACTACGATACAAACAAAAAATTTAACAAAAAACTTGGGCGATTTTTTTTAAATTTCAATAGCCTGAAATTAGATCCAAGAAATCAAAATGCTTTGACCGGATTTAATTTTTTTCTCAATTAGTATTTTACCGCCATGTCACTTTGGAACGATTTTTCGCAAAAATGACACGGATAAGGGTGGAACCCTTATGCGCGTCAGTTTTGCGAGAAAAAATTGTTCAACAATTAAACTTTCGACGGTTTTTGGACAGCAAACTTTAACTACAAGTAAGTGAAGTATTAACGCTCCATCATTCAGCTGAGTATAAAATTTCTCAAACTGCATTGTAGTTTAATGTGCGATTTTTTCAGGTTTTTGTTTTTGAAATGCATTCTTGTAAAATAAAAGTATTGAACTTGACCCAGAGAGGAGTGGCTGCCCATCTAAGATCTCTCCGTTGCTTGTCCCGATTTCATCAGGTGAGATATTTTACATTCAGAGTCAGAAAAAAATTATTGTAATATTTTTTAGAATTGAAGAGTCTGAATCAAGGTTATTAACCTATACTAACTATTCAGTTTGACCCGCAGAATTCATCTGCAGAAATCATTTCAAAACCGTGTCAAAAACTCAATTAATTGAAAGAACCCCTTTCGTGACCCATTACGGTGCTCATGGTCACCAATATTGTCAAAAGTTTGGCATTAACCATCAATCTGAAATACTTACTCTCAAGAGACCGGAGAAGTAAAATTGCATAGAATAGGAAACGTTATTCAAAAATCTGCTAAAAAATTGTCCAAATTCACATATTTTTTTCTAGCAAAGGTTAAGCAAAATCGGTGATTGGACCGAGCGAACAATCTCTTCAGAAGTCTTTAGCGGCAATCGTTCAATTGGTTAAAGTTCTCATGTTTCAGCCTATCAATATTCAGCGTTTTACTCGAATGTTGCAGACATTTGCTATTGTTTTTCAAGAGGTCAGTTGGTTATTTGGGGGGAGGGGGTTCTTTGTTCACGTGATCCCACTGCTCTGCATGTTTTGAGAAAATGTTGTAGATTTTATTTAAAGGCCAACTCAAATTCGACAATCTCCAGACATTCCAGCTCAAGTTCTGTTCGGTTGAATTATTCTTCGCGTCTCTACAACTGCAGACCTTCGTTTTCGCTGCCTGGTATCAATATTAGAGGACTGAGCTCGGATTCTGCGAATAAAGAAAAAGAACCCATTGGTAAGAATGTGTGAAGTCTTTTCAAACTATTTTTGTATCGAGATACAAGTATGATAGTCGGGTCTCTAAAATTAAGATGGGTTCCTGAAGATTTTTGGTGCCGAAAATATTCGTTAGCAGACGCGGGGGTGAGCATCGATTTGTTTCTGTTTTCTGTTTCAAAAATCACGGCAAATTTAGCTTTTGAGTGTGTTCTAAGAATATTAAACTATTAGCTCTTTCGTCGTAGCCGCTCAGCCGCAGCCTTGTAAAAAACAATCGACAGCCCATTATGGTAGGATTTCCTCCTTTTTATGCACGGAACAACAATTAACTGAGGGAGAGCCAACTTTTGTTACGGGGAGAGACAAACTTTGGAGTCTTTCCCATTATAGTCCCCATGAGTTATTTAAACACCTCCAACAATATACAAAATTTACTTTTTTGGGTGGGCTTAAGTTTTTTGTTACCAGGCTGGAAAGACTATAATGAGAAAGACTCCTAAACTCGCCTCTCCCTCAGTTAATTATTGCTCCATGCATAAAAAAGGGAATCCTACGATAATGGGGCAATAAAATCTCTTCTGCCGGGAAAGTCTAATTTTTCTCTAATGAGACAAATACATTTTATCAACAGAAGCCGAGATCATTGAAGAAAACATAGAGTCTTCAACAGCAGAATCTGCAGCTGAGAAAGATGAGCCGAAGTCGATCATAACTGACAATGAGCAGTCACACGGGGAAGCGGAACAGAAGTCTTTCGTGGCGGAGACTCAAAGACTGCTGCAGATTGTAGCAGAGTCACTGTATTCGGACAATGAGGTATGTTTTACATTCAGACTATGGAAGACTACCTTCTCCTCCCCCCTCTATTTAACGCTTTTTGTGACATCTGTCTGTCTCTAATTTTGTTTTGCATAAATGTGAAAGATTTAAAAGGTTTTATTCCCTCTCAAAACTAAAATAAGATCTTAATTCTTCGGAATTTTAGCGCCCTGTTCTTATTTTGAACCCGGCAATTAAAATATTTTCTTCAATTCACTAAAAATGTACCAATAATTGACCCAAAGCTGACCATCAACATGGCTTCCCACCGATGGACTTCTAGAAAACATAAATTTTGAAATAGAATTTTTTCTTCCGCCTTTTTTGCTTCCCTGCATACTTTCAAAAAATATATAGCATCCCAGTGCCTATTGTTCATCCACCGATAACCTCTATGACATCGGAAAGTTTGAATGGCTCTAGCGTAGCTGGCAATTCTGAAATTGCAAACTGTACCATTGAAACAGTTACTCTCCAGCGCTTAAATATCAGACCCCCAGAAGCATGTTTAAGCTTCTCTTATTGTATGGGACCCCTGCCGCAGTGAAAAATTGTCCAAAAATTGAGTTCTCGATTGTGCCCACAACCCATACCAAGTTGGAGTAGTAACTATATTCTATCGAAGTTATTCTTACTAGAGCAGCGTTTATTAGCTCTATCCAAGCATTGCCCAGAGACAATAAAATTCACATTCTCAACTCGATGAATTCAAGGATAGTAATTCGAGAAAAACAAACTCATAAAGAAGTGAAAAAATTAATGGCTTTTATATGATAAATTCTGATTTGGTGGTAAGGAGCTGAAACTTCTGATAAGGATACGTAAGCAATTCGGAGTACTTCTACATCTTAAAGGCCTTCACGGTTCGATTGGTTATAATCATGAGAAATAAGTGTGTTTTGACGTTTTAGGTTTTTCTGCGTGAACTGATTTCCAACTCGTGTGATGCGCTAGAAAAGAGAAGACTACACTCACTTACTCAGAGGTCAGACCAGGAGTTCGAGCCCCTAGAGATCCACGTGAAGACAGATGACATCAGAGGTCAATTGATCATACAGGTTAACTTTTTCCCGCTAAATAATATTATGTATGATTTATTTCCTTCCAAAATAACAGACTGGAAGAGGACTTCTCGGTTGATTAAACATTAAATTGACGCCTAATTTATGTTTTGGCGCTATTACATATTTAAATTTTGAGGGGGGCGTGTGCGCCCAAAAACGCTTGGTTTTTGAACAAAATTTTCTAAAAAAGGCCTAAAAACGCCTTTTTTTGGCCTGTTTTTTCAAAAATTCAGCTGTGGTGCAGACAGTTTCGTCAAAATTGGGTCTTTTTAGTGATTTGGGAGAGCTCGGAATTTTAGGAAAATTTGGTCGACCGAAAAAAAGTTGAAAGTTTTTGGAAATTCTTCCTCGAGAAAATCCTAGATCCTCCCCTGGACAGAGGTTTATGTTTTGGATTAACAGTTTAAAATTTGTTGAGAACAGCTTTGTTAAGACCTTTTTTACCTTCAAAGGTTGCATTTTTCGGTCGTGGTTTCTTGCTTCATTGAGAAACTTTTGTATATACATCGTTGTTGAATTCTGTAAAATGTTTCAATCCCAAGTTTATCAGAGACAGTGTTATTGGTGCCAATGAGAAACTCAGTATGTTATGATCTATTACGATCTATTACTTTTTCTCTTTCAGTACCAGAGCTTAATCGTAAAAACTTATTACCATATATAACTGGGGATGACATCCATAGACCGAAAATGCTAGTCATACAAACTTCAAATATTTTTGCAAAATGAGTTTGATCGAGTCTAAAGGTATTTTTTTTGTTGTTTGGTATCAAAATTGTTGTCTCTCCTTAAAATGAAAAAAAAAGATGGTATGAAAGATAAGCGTTTTTTTAATTAATTTTAAACGTATTTATTCAAAATGGGTTCGTAATAAGAAAAATTTTGCTTATGTTTTCGTTAAACGTGTACAATGATCGTGTTCAGGATACAGGGATTGGCATGACTCGTGACGAAATAGTGACCAACTTGGGCACCATAGCCCACTCGGGGTCAACCGAGTTCATTTCCAAGATGAAAGACAGCAGTGTGAATGTGTCGAGAGAGAGCATCATAGGCCAGTTCGGAGTGGGTTTCTACAGTGCATTCATGGTGGCTAAGAAAGTGGAGGTCTTCTCGAAATCCAATGCGGTATGAATGAAGTAATACTAGGAATTTAGTCACACTTATTATCTTTACTACAAAATTTGTTGTCGTAAAATAGTGTAATGTCGGCAGCGCGGGTAACCAACTTTTTATCATGTCTAGCATTTGGTGCATTTTTATTATGAGAAATTTACCACCATTTTACTGAATTTCGATTTTTCGATTGAATCTGCATTTTTGAACTTTGGCCGAAAAATGTGTGTTTGAAAAACAACAACAACACGTCCCGCGTCCAAAAATATGTTTTTGAAAAACAACAACACATATCCTTTTTTAGCTTAATGTCATGAATGGTCCGAACAATTTCAGTACAAATCTAGAACGAAATGTTTACTCAGTCAAATTAAATGTTGAAAGAAATGATACACTAATGCGTATTGCGATGATTAAGAAAAGGTGCATCTAGGATGCCGCGGACGAAGGAAGTTACTGGTGTTCCTCGGGAGCTGACTCCTACACTCTACAACAGGCATCCAATGTGCAGCCGGGAACTAAGTTAGTGCTGCATCTCAAGGACAGTTGCGTCAAATTTGCGCAAGTGAGTCATCTTAGTAAATTGGTGAAAAGTTGGTGCAGAATCACAAGTGAGCTCAATAGTTGCAATTAAATCAACATTCGTATACATTCAATTCAATTAGAGAACCAAAATAATTTTTGTCGATTGAGTATCTAAAAATTAAAAAAAAAACTAAGCTCCAAGAAGAATTGAGATCGGAGTGGCACTTGAACAGCATCCGGTTTTTCTTGTTTCATTGCATGTTTTTTTTAATAAAAATTAATATCAAAATTGGAATTTTATTGAACATCTTGTGATGTTTGGAGTAAAGCGTTGGTGAATGAGCTTAAGTCTCGTCTCTGAATTGAAAAATTGTTAGTTCGAAGAAGTCCACTATTAATCCGTTCCCATTGCCTGAGAGTCAGGGAACATTTCTCAATCCTTAAAAATAAACCAAACAATTGCATGTTTTGCTTAAGCAGGGGTGCAACAGCTCGTGGGTTGTTACTTTCACTTGGCAGTAAATGGTCGGGTCTCTTATCGTAAACGGCCCAAAGTTTGCTAATAATGCCCTCAATAATAATCGAATGCAAGAATCTGAGTATACCATGGCAATGTTTTTGATTACAACAAAATAGGTGCGAATATTTTCATTTCATATTTTGAGGCTTTCAAATTGAGCCGAAAAGACCTAATTTCTTAGAACAATTTTGTTTTTAGGAATCAGTGGTGAAAGAAATAATATCGAAGTTTGCCTCCTTTTTCGACAAACCAGTGTACCTCAACGGGGCTAAACTGCAATCTAATGACCCGGTTTGGATGAAAAGTCAACCTACAGAAGATGAATTGAATAGTTTATACAGGTGAGTTTGCTTTGAATAAACCATGTCTCAAACATCATGACTACCCATTTGACTGCCATAATTTATGTTATCATGCGAATTTCTTTTTAAGAGTCGATCAACGTAGTTCAGACTCTTTTATAGGTCGTGATGATTTTTTGTTTTTTTTTTCAGGAAAAGTCTTAAAACTTGTTCACGCTCAACATTGATTTTTCGCGGTTTGAATTTTTATGGGTTGAATTTTTATTTTTTTTAAAGTTCAGTTCATTTGGCTCTTTTTCCTCCCCCCCCCCCCCCCACCTGCAAATTTTTCAATTTTAAATTACTGTTAACTTTGTCCGATTGTCATGAAAATTGACATGCAGACTGATTAGGCCATAAGAAACATATTTGGTCTTCATAATTAACCTTGTAAAACCACTCGTTAGACCATAAAATTCATGTTTGTGTGAGGTGGGGGGGGGGAAGGAAAAAGAGCCATTCATTTCTTTAAGAGGAAGGTAAACTTAACTTTCTAACAGAAAAAAATGTAAAGGTCACGAAAAAGGTGATAGACTTCTAATTTCGAAAATGAAAATTAATTATCAGATTTCCCAGGGAAATAAAAATTTTGCCTATTGATCCAGTTTTCTCAAATTGGTTTTTCTTAAAAAATCAAAAACTGTCAATCGCAAATTGTTCTAGAATTTCCAAGAGCTTTCAGGCCACCTATTTTTGCATCGAATTTTTTTTATCTAGCCAGTGTTTTTGGTTTACTTGTGTTCCTTTACTCTTTTCCAATTGTCTGTTGACTTTTTTCCGCGACGTCATGAAGTGATTGAATGAGTTATGGCGTTAGGTGGATATTATGTCTGCTTCTGACATAGTTAAAGAAAGGCTTCAGCTAAGATTCGGATTCCAAAGACAATGGAAGATATTTTATGCGTTAAAAAAAAGCAATTTTCCGTGTAAGGTTAAAATTGCTTTTCCGATTTCCGAGCGAAATTTGAGGTCATGAAAATTGATGACACTGAATTTGATGACGTCCATCCAGTTTGTTTCTAATTTAGTTCTAAATGGTTAATAGAAAATTAGTTTAAAAAAGTTTTCAATTTAAAAAAATGTTCTCAAAATTTCCCGTATTTTTTGTGGTCGCAATACTTTAATTCTGTGCTACTCGAGCTTCCATGGGCTATCCGTTTGATTTGTTTTTGAAACTTTTTCTTGCGAAAGAAATTTTTCAATCAGGATTTTTGTAAAAGTTTTTTTTCAGCAGCGTTTAAACTTTTGTTTTGAATGTGTTTTTTGAGCAGCTGGGTCAACGATGAAGTTGAACGCCAAGAGGCGCATTCCGGATGTTGAGTAACAATAAAGCTAAGCTATTACCTATCTACAAAAGCTCACCTTGCGAATTGCACTTTAACTGCGCCTAATTGCAAATTAGTTTTTTTTTACTGTTTATTAAGGTTGTTATCCGCTCAAGTAAGGACTTTCTCGCAACAGTGTCCGATTCGCAAATCGTTTTAAACCAATTTTCGACCGATACCGTTTGGTAACCAAAAAATGTAAAGGCAACCATTAAGATTTAGAGCTACATTTCTCTTCAAAAGATGAAGGCTCATCGGATTTGTACGAGATACTGTTTCCGAAGTGAGTGGAAAAAGAAACAACTTGATTTTTATTCTCTAAATATGATGGGGGATGATGACCTGTAATATACATTAACGTACGTTATGACCAAATTTGTTTCTGTTTAGTTCTGAATCATATAATTAGCTGGTTATATATAGAAAAGTTTATCAAAATTAGACAAGATTTTCAAGTTTTTATCTGTGCTTGAGAACACAGATTTTTAATTTCGATGCCATTGTGTTAATTGTTAATTTTGTCTCTCTTCCTGGATTTATTTCGTAGTCTCAGAAAAATATAATTCGTTTGTCATAATTAACTCAATACAATTTTTTTACGGAGACTAGGCTCGAACTTTGAAACAATGCCGTTACATTTCCCCTTCTTTGCCTCATTTCTGTATAACGATTTCATTTATTCATTTTACTTGATTAATTTTTATATATTATCCTAAGTAATAAATGATTTTGTTCCGAACATTGAAAACGTGGAGGCTCTTTGTATTCGGTTGTTTGCAAAATCAGGTACCACAAATAATCATCAGAATATATCATATTATATCATATTAAAGCCTTTTCAGTGGGATTCGAACTCAAAAAGTTATCTTACTGTCGCGAAAAAGCCGTTTGAGATGTTTGTTTTTTTGGTCTAATTTCGAGTGAATAAAGTGAGCGAGCAGTCTTATTTTGTTTTTCAATAAAAAGCAATTAAAAACAAAGAATCATCGGAATGGGTAGATTGATATATAGTTTTGAAGCTATTGCAGCCGTAATTCCATCTACGGTAAAAAAAAAAGGTTACCCCAGCGTTAAAAAAAAGATTTCTGTTTCAGTTCAATTTCGAGCGAACAAAGCATGCGAGCAGCTTTTTTTTAACGAAAGATAAGCGACGAAATTTTTATGTTTTTTATTATTTACGGGCATCTGGGGCGACGTGGGGCGACAATTCGTAAAAAAAACGACCATTCGTTACAGTAGATTAAGCTTTTTCTGTTTTGGGGAGGGCTTTTATATGTTTTTGAGTGGGGGAGGGGGGTACAGAGTACTTAGGCACGACAAACATGTTTGGGCTCTTTTCCAGTTCCCCCTTTCATAATACCGAGTTTTAGGTTTGTTTTAGGTGTTATTACGGCTAAATGCGTGATGTTACCCTGTAAAGTATGAAGAACAAATCTGTTCATAGTTTGCAATTTGTTCACCACGCCAAGTTTCGGCTCTTTTCCAGTTCCTCCCCTTTCAAATTCAATTTTGAAAACTTAGATAACGTTGTCATAATGCATTTTTTTGTTTTGCTTTTTTAATTTGCATAATTTACCATAATTTTACTATAAATGTCAACTATGTCTAAGTTCTAGGCTTTCACTCAGATCCTCTTATCACACCACGCCCACAAGCAATACTGTTTCGAAAAAAATAACAGAACAAGATTTTCATGTAATTTTTTAAAGAATATGGTCGGAACTTTCTGTGCTACTTGCACAGCAACCGGCTATCTTTTTTAAAGTGCCAATGAACAAAATGCAGACAATTATTAAAGTTAGTATTTTTTTTGTTAAAAAGTCTTTAAATTTGTTCAGGCTCCATTTTGATTTTTTGTTGTTTGAATTTTAATTCTAAGTTCAAATCAAATTATTTGCTGTTTGGAAAGGAAACTATGCTCTCCAATTACCAATGTGCAAATTATGCAGACAAGTTTTGGTTTCGAATTAATTCCCTTTTTTGCGCTATTTGCTTTTTTGGTGATTAGAGAGCATAGTTTGCTTTCCAAACAGCAAACGAATTTGATTTGATCTTAGAAATTGAAATTCGAAACTCAACGAAACTGAATTGACTTTTGGGTTTTATTGTGGTTTGTCTTGACAGTTATAGTTAGAGGGCTCGCAATGGATGTGCTTGATTTTCAATGTCTAAGTCCAAATCAAATTCCTTTGCTATGCTATTTGAAGAGCAAACTTGGTCTCTAATTACCGAAGTGCAATTAGCGCGAAAAATGTGAATACATTTTTGTTTCGAATATGTATTTCAATTCTTCGATTTTTCAGCAGAATAAAAATTAGTTACCTATTTGTCCAATTTTCTCAAAAAAATCAATCGAGTAAGATTGTTGAAATTCGAAGATTTGTTGCGTGATGTTTTTTGCAACTCTTAATTTGGGATTAGAACGAACTGTCGAGCTGTCTGTTGGCTATATTTATTTCTTCTAATTTTTAAGGTATTTCAATATTTATTTCTTCTAATTTTTAAGGTATTTCAATATTTATTTCTTCTAATATTTAAGGTATTTCAGTTTAAGTATTTTTAGAATATTAGTTCGTACTTAATTCTGTTCACAGGAGTGTTGTGAAGGGAGGCTCTGAGGCCAGATTCACACTGCAGTACAGAACAGATGTCCCCTTGAATATGAGGTGCATTCTCTTCGTGCCAGGTACTCATCGAAACTAATTTTTGCTACTTTTGCTCAATGAAGAGATCAATTTGTTATATACGTTTGCACTAAATTTAGGGAGCATTGATTTTTCAGGACTTAAAGCTAGTTTATTTTTCAAGTCTGTCAGATCGAAACCGTTGAAGATGATAATAACCTACGCTGCCAGCGAATAGTTTAAATCGTTGTTTCTTGATTAGTTCGTTTATTGGCATAATTTTCTAGATTATTCAAGGAAGCGCTCTTTAACTTCGTAGTCAAATGCTTTTTCATGCTCGTTTTTTATATTGTGTTAAAAAATTTTTTTTTTAATTAAAAAAGTTTGTTCAAAATATTGTGCTTAAGTAAAAAAAATTTAAGAATTGAGTTTTTTGTTTTGACATGTTTCAGGAGAGCAGTTCAACATGTTTTCCACTCTCACTCCGAAGGACAGTGGGGCTGACGTGTCCCTGTACTCTCGCAAAGTGCTCATTCAGAAACGAGTGGACTCCAAAATACTACCCGAATGGGCCAGGTTCCTAAAAGGCAAGTGGTGAACATCTGTGAAGACTTCTTGCTCGTCAAATAAATCGTACGGAAGTTTATGTAGAGTAAACTCGTAAATTGAGAGAAGTGTGCGATTAATTGTCTTTTTGAAGTCCCATTAAGTACTGCGATCCTAGTTTTATTTTAAGGTAGCAATGCAAAGTTTTACAAAATATGGAATCACCTGCCGAAGGACTGAATCGCCGAAAATAATCCAAATTTTAGTGCTTAAACGTTCGAAAGAAGCTAGCATGAAAAGCAGTCAGCTTATGACAGTGTAAATGAACTTGATGTGTTGAAAGTTTTCCGCATCAGAATAGCCCCAAAATTTTGCTGAAATATATTTTTTTGTAAAATGAAACTTTTGAACGATGTGAATGACAATTTTTTTTTGCTTCAGGTGTGATTGATAGCGAAGACATTCCTCTAAACTTAAGCCGTGAGATTTTACAGAACTCAGACCTGCTTCTGAAGATGAAGAGAACACTAACTGCGAGGATCATCAAATTCCTACTCGATAAATACAAGAGACATCCCGAGTCTTACAGTGTATTTTACAAGGTATGCTTTTCAAGGACAGACTGTACAAATTTGGTACTTTTTAAGTGTCATTGAACGTAGCGAAGATTTTGATATAGGTCGTGATTTTTTTGGAATAAGTCTTAAATTTGGTCACAGAAAAGTTTCGAAAATGGATGTTATATACTCATTACACAACTGGTTGATTTATACTCAGTACACAAGCGAAGCGTAGTGTTATTACGAAGAAATTTTTTGTCCAAACTAAGTCGCAAATAAAATAGCTCAATTGGTGGCGTTTTTGGTATAATTCATTTTAATCATATTCAAGCATAAGTAATTTGAAAGCATATGTTGCTGCTTTTTTTGCCTAGTGTTAGGTCCTGTTTGAAAAAAAAAATAGGTGTTATGAAAATGTATGGGTTTTGTTTTCGTTTTTTTTGCGAAGCTTTGGAACATTTTAGCAGAATTTTCAATTTTTCTCAAAAACAAGTGTGCCGATTTTCAAATGGTCCCAATGGAAAAACCGCCTGCTCTTCTATGTGTCTGCATATTTCGCTAGTCTCTCTTCTTTTTAAATCACGGTCTTCGAAAATTTCAGTAGAGAGATATTTGACCTATTTGTTATGAATTTTTTCATTTTCTCAAATATTAAATGCTCAATTGATATGAAGGTTTCAATAAAACGAACAACTTGTGGGGATCTCTCCTTCTCAAGAGGCTATTCCGTACATTCGGCAGAAAAAAAATGTCGCCTCAAACAAGCACATTTTTGACATTTTTTGAAAACTTTTCGACTTTTCTCAAAAATTACTCTGCTAAATCGGCGATCAGAGGTTTAACCGAAAGGAACACAATGAGTTATGCGGATGTTCCTTGCACAAACGGCTGTGCCCTGCGTTTTGATTAAGAAATATGGCCTTAGAAATCTTCATTTTTTTCAATTTTTGCTTGTTTGTTGGAAAATTATTCTTTTTTAAAAATTTAACTGCTGAAGGTTGATAGTTCATTAATACTTTTATGGATTTTCGCTTTCTCCTGTGCAATCTATTTTACCCTATTTATTTATAAAAGGGCCAATATGGACTTTGGATAAATCCATTCTTTAATTTTTTTGTCGTTTTTTTTAAAGAAATTTCATCACTATTCTAGACAACTAGTAGCTCAATCTGATATCAAGGGTTCACTCTGAAAATTAGCATGTGAACGTCTTTCCTGCACAGGAGGCTAATCCCATGCTCTAGCACAGAAAAGTTTTTGATTTTAGGACAAGTCAAGTTTTTGAGTTTTGATCCGTTTTTGGAATTTTTTCTTTTTTTTTTCCGAAAACTACCCAGCCAAATCTGAGTTAAAGACCTTAATTGAAAGAGCGAGTAGTGTATTTTTCTCCTTTAAATAAGCCGCTAGTCTCCTACTTAAGCAGAGAAATTACTAAGGTTTTGCGTTAAGTCTATTTTTTTAAAGTTACGCATTTCCGTATCAGTACAAAATATGTTTAAAATATTAAAACAAGTGGATCCAGCATTATCTGGGCCACTTCCAAGCGAACGTGGCGCAGATGCGAGACGACTAATCAACAGTTTGAAGATTCAAATCCGGAATATTTAATTGGTTTTATTTTTTCGGTCGAATTTTAGCTGTGTAGCATTTGCAATTTGATAGAAAATGTAGCTGCTTTATTGGTGGCTGGTGTTGGTAAAATTTTAAGTGGTCGTGGAGCAGTTGATAGAACGTGATACTCCTAATCTCAAAAGCTTTTTTTCTGAAGGTGTATTTTTTAATTTTTTTTTCTTATTTCACTTTGTTTTGCCTGTTTACAGCTCCTTTTTGCATTTTCCTCGCTTGTGTTTGCGAAGCGCAGCTTCGCCTCTGTGTTAAATCTTATAATAATCTGCTGCATTTTTGACCAGTATCAAAAAACTATTCGGATTTTTTGAAAATTCCTTGTAAAACTGGAAGATGTAAAACGGTGTAATAACGTTTTTTGTGCTTTTACTTTTTTATCAGGAAAAAAGTGGCGGTGATTGGTTATTCGAAGATTTATTTCCATACTGTTTGTTACAGAAATTGCGAGTTTGGACGATAGCTCCGATATCTTTGTTCTAAAGTACGGGGGTTTCATATCGCCGGTATTTTGTTTAGTTTCCAACTGTTTTTTTTTGCTAATTTCAAGCTTTGAAGACACTGCGTGACTTATATTGATGTTGTTATTGCTTTATTCGATATCGAAGATCTGAAATATTTTGTTCAGGAGTACGGGGATTTCATACGTGAGGGTGTGCTGGGACTGTCCAACGACAAATTAGACCAAGAGGAACTGATGAAATTGATGTTGTTCCAAAGCAGCAAGCTAGCAGATGGGGAGTTTTGTAATTTAGAGAGGTTAGCTGTTCAACTTGGTTGCTAGCTTCAATTCAACTTTTTTTTGGTTGCATTTGTTTTTGGTTTTTGAACTGTTAAAATCTGATGAATAAAAATGTTTCCTGGTTTTAAAGAATTTTTACCAAAGGTAAAAAGACCTTAGAAGATTAGAAATGACCGTTACAATTCGGTTCTGATTTCAAAATGCGATAATTTTATCTAAATAGTCAAGAAACGAAGCGTTTACATGGTCGATTTTGTGGTTAGTATGACCTGACCTCTTTTGATTTGCAGTTACGTTGAACGAATGAAGGCAGGCCAGCGTGAAATATTCTACCTCTGTGCTCCCAGTCGAGAACTAGCAGACACATCTCCTTACATGGAAACACTCTCAGCCTCGGGTAAAGATTATACTCCAAAATTTATGGTTGCGGAAACGATCGTTTCTTTTCGTGTAGTGTTTCTTATAGAATAGAGTTCTTAAGATGGTGGTTTCTTTTTTTATTGCTGTTCTTTTGATTTTATGTAATGCGATGGCATTTGTATTTTATAAAGCGACATTTCGAAATTTTAGGAATTTTGGAAATTGAAAATAATCAAAAAGTTTTCTAAACCGCTCGTTTCAGGAAAAGACTTTGAAGTTTTATATGCACTGAAGCCATTTGACGACATCACTCTGAGTCAGAGTTTCGAGTACAAAGGAAACCGCATTGTGAGTATCGAGAGTGCTAAACATGGAGCGGCTGCAGATACTCCAGAAAAGAAAGGCTAGTGCTGTTATTATAATAAAAGCTAATACCAACAGCATTTAGTATTGGAAAAACGGCTTTTACTTTCAAAAAGGGATTTAAACCTCTATAAAATTTTGTTCAAAGTTTTTCAATTTTAGATGATTCTGCATCAAGTGATTCCGAGTCGGCAAACGAGATTCTCAAATCGCATTTCCGATCAGCACTGGGTGATCTTATTCACGAGGTAAGATAAAGAAGAAAAAAAACTGTACAAATAAAAGTGTCTCCCTCCAAGCATACAAGTATTTCTTTACTGGGAAATTAATTCAAATATGTATACTATTGGACCTTCATCCTGTAGTCTTGGTACGAATGAATTACGATTGAAGAAAAAGTACAATAGTAGAAAATTTGCTCATGAAAACTTTTGAACAGCATTGATACCTTCTTAGTTATACTTCAATGTGCATTTCCTAAAGACCGCACTGTTACATTACCGTATTGTTCTAATCTGTGTCATTTAAAGGCAATCATTTTGAACCGTTGTTTATGGAACTGAAAAATGTTTATAATTATTTTTTCCTTGTTGCTCGAATCACGATTGAAGCGGCGTCAATGCGATCTGATCTTAAGTTGTTTTATCTGCATTTTCGTGGATAAAATACCGCCTAAACTTGCCTGGCAAACTCAATATCAAACTTTTGATTTTCATGATTATGTAACGGATCTTCCGAGCAGGGTGACCACTTGGTCTGTAGTTACAGACCGGTCTGTAAAGTCTGTAAAAAGTCTGTTTTTTTTTACATTGGTCTGTATTTTATTGCTGGGAAAAGTTTTCATTGACATTCTGCTTTAATCAACGAGGGCGTTTTTCAACCAGGAACTGGCGCTGATCTTTACGACAGTCTAAGATTTGTTTCTGATTTCTTCGACAGATAGTCCTTTGAGAAATACATTCCGTCCCAAATTCTTCTGAATCAGATGTCTGCAGTAAGCCATCTTTATAAGGAATCTGAGAAGCAGCGCATGAAAGAGGAAGACAAATTGAAAGTGAAAAGCAACGAGTTGCGTCGGCAAATTGGTATTTACCAACGGAGATCGTCAAAAGTCCTCAAGCGCGAACTGTCAGAAACAGAAAAAGAATTGGCAGAAGCCGAAAAAGTCCTTCAAAATATCAAGGAGAAGAAAGAGCGACTCCAAAACGAACAAAGGGGAATTAATTCCCGATCAGATGACATTTCAGTGAAGATTGTAAACGTGATCTTGAAATAATCATTTTGTTCTTTTTTGTTGTAATTTAAACTATCATTCGAAATAAATTTTTTGTGGAATACTAGTTTTCGCTGCGTATTCAGGCTAGTCTGTATTTTTTCACGCCCGAAGTGGTCACCCTGCTTCTGAGTAGTAGAGAAGGATACAGATGGGCGATATAGAACATTTTGTGAGGACAGTCGTAAGTAGCTCTAAAGAAACTCCAAGATATGATTTTAAAAATGGCATTCAATGAAACAGGACTTCGCAAATCGTTATGCTTCGTTGACCGAAAGAAATTTTCATTAAACTTTGGCCATCACCAATTATTAATAAGACTTGTATCAAAATTTAGGTGAAAGTTTCGCCGGTGGATTTCAAGTCGCCAGCTGTGATTCGCAACTTCGACATGAGTATGAGCAGACACATGTTACTGACTACTCTAGCCGACAGAAGTGAGGACGAGAAACTCAAGTTCCTCCATGCCGAGTTGGAGTTGAACTCCAGTCACCCTGTTGTCAAGAAGGTCAGCTTAAGACTCTGTATTTGGATAGTAAATTGCTAGTTTCTTAAGATGGACATGGTGATCTTATTCACGCGGTAAGATAAGAGGAAAAAAACTGTAAAAATAAAAGTGTAATAATTGCAAAACTTCTCATGTCATCTTCAGCTTTTAAATGCTCCCCACACCAGTTAGGAAACGTTTAACCGTGCTTTTGACCAATGACGAAAAAACGCATGCCAGATAGTGCGAAAATAAGGCTTAGTTTTTTTGATTAACTAGTTTTCAAACTCAAACAGCTTCAAGTTAAGGTATTTTTTACGAACCTTAGAAATTGGAAAGAAAATGATAAATGAACAGTCGTTTCTTTTCGGTTTCCTTGATTCTGTTTACATATTTCCAACTTTCTGTCTTGTTAAAATCGCATTTTTAAGAACAACCGCACTTGTTGGAAGTGTGATACAAGCTCTGAATTAAAAAAGGGCATTGATGAAAGGTCAATTTTGAGGAATATTTTTTCAATGGTTTGTCTAAATTAACGGAGTTGAATCCTCCGGTATTTTAGACGTCTCAAGCTTTTTATTTTCTTCATTCTACAACATTTTTTTGACATTTGAAATCGCGCTTATCAAAAAGCTTCCTGGAGGTGGGGCAATATTCTGGGGGGTTTGATAGCTCAAAAATTTTAAATGGTCAGCAGTAAAAAGCTCAACTTCTCGACTGCTCTGGTCCTCCGGATGCTTGATTAACGATTGCAAAAATATTCAAAAAGGCAGTGATTACTTTTGTAGGTCGTTGAACTGAAAGAGTCAGATCCAGAGACGAGTAAATTGCTGGCCAGACAAGTACTGGACAATGCACTAGTGGCTGCCGGATTATCCACTGACTCGAGGCTGATGATGAAACGACTGGACACGCTCCTCGCTAGAGTAGCCGAGAAATTGTGAAAGAAAGAGAGTTCGAGTCTTGAGAAGTTGTGAATGAATTGTTCGTACAATGTAAACAACGATCTTGATGTTTCTCAAAATGTGGACAATTGCAGAACGGCAGAATGGGAAAAATTTTCAAAAAATTGAAATTAATCGTAATCGAATCTTAAAGCTTGAAGAATTTCAAAGAGCTTAAACATGATTTTTTTGAAAAGTTTCAAAAATAGTATTGTTAAGAGTCGATTCACCTTGTTCAGACACTTATATAGGTCGTGGTCATTGTTTTTTTTTCTGGAAATTTGTTCAGGCTCAAGTTTACTTTTTCGCGGTTCGACTGTTGATTTCTTTTAAAGTTCTATTCATTTCCATTGTTAAGAGGAAGGCAAAATCCACTATCGAACAGGAAAAGTATAAAGGTTACGAAAAACGTGATCGCATTCTAGCTTCGAAAATGAAATTTAATTTTCAGATTTTCCAGCGAAATAAAAAAAATTACCTATCGATCCAGTTTTCTCGAATTGGTTTTTTTATCAAAAAAGTTTCAGTGATAAATTGTTCTAGAAATTTAAAGAAATTTAATGCCTTCTTTTTTTTGAAAATCGAAAGCTTTTTCCAAAAAAAACATGTTTTATTTTTTTTCTGTTTAATTGCGTTCATTGGCTTTTTAACTTTTCTTTTTCTGTTGGCTATATTCTTTTTCTTTCAGTTTCCTTAAGCTCATTGGCCCTTTTCGAACTTGCTGTTGGCTTTGATTTTGTTTTTTGACACTCATTTGAGTCAGATGAAACTTTGAATTTCTCGACATACTGAGCTCATCAGGTTGCTCATTTTTACAAATTATTTTTTGCACCTGTTTTGAGCTGCGATACTTTGTAAAGATGTTTGCGAGAGGCTGGATCATGCCTGCTGATGAAGTGTTTCAAAAAGTCCTAGTTTCCTAATTATTCTATTTTTTAGATGAGGAAGTTGTAGTTTATACCAGCGTAATATGCATCATGCGACAATGAAAAAGAAAATTTAAAGTTTTATTTTCGACCATTATTCCGTTTTTATAGCAGTGATTATTTTTTCTGAGTTTTAATTTAAAATAAGCGTTTCAACAGCAGCTAATACAGCAGAGGATAAAACCGAGACAACGAGTATTGACACGATATGCTTAGAATAAGAGAAGAAGACATGCAATTTTATTGCAGAAAAGAAAACATGTATCTATCAGTCTGTTTTGATTTAGCTAATTAATCCAGTTTTTTCTAGTGGTGTGCACCTGAGAATGAATTCATGGAAACTGGTTTCATATTAGCATAAGTCATTGGACATCTGATTGTTGTAGAATATATATATTTTTTTGTTTCATTGAGTTTTGCAATAAAGTTTCGAATTAAGTTCATCTAACTGTTTGATAATATGGTTGTAGTCTAAGATTTTCTTCTGCCAGGGTGATATCCATAAAAAGTGAAGTAATTATAAATCCAAAATATGTAGTAAACTTATTTGTTTTTAGAACAGGGTCCGCCGATGCACGTGTTTGTTCCGACCATTGAAAATGGGGGGAGGGGGCTTTGTATTCGGGTGTTTTAGTTTTTTTTCTTTTTGTTTTCCACGCGAAATCAGCTACCACAAATAATCACTCTGGATTGAGTGATATAGCATAATGAAGCCCTTTCAGTCGTGCTTCGATCGACATTAATTTTTTTTTATTTTCCCAGTGTCGAGAAAAACCGGTTTGATATTTTTGATTTTTCGTCTAAATTCGAGCGAGTAAGCAGGCTTACATTAGCTTATTTATGCTTTTGCCTTCGAAGCTATACGAAAGTATATGAGATTCAATTCGATTCTATATCAGAGTACGATTCACTTTTTCACTGAATTGAGTATTAACAAATTTTTGTTATGTTTTAATTACTTTACATTATCAGTAGAACTGTTTTTATTGTTCCGACCTTTCAAAAAAATGGGGAGGAGCTTTGTATTCGAGTGTTTCTTTTTCTTCTTGTTTTCCTCGCAAAATCAGGTACCACGAATAATCATCGGAATGTGTCAAGTGATTATAATAAATCCCTTTCGTCGTGATTCGAACGACATCAAAATTTTTAGAAAATTTTTTCTCAGTGTCGAGAAAAGCCGTCTTGAAATTTACAATTTTTGGTCTAATTTCGAGCTTATAAGTTGAGAGTGCAGGTTTACTATAGCTTTTTTATGCTTAATATAAGCCGTGATAATTTTTGTAACGATTTTTTGTTTTTCTAGTCAATTTACAAAAATTGTTTTCCAATTGGCATAATTTGCGATGAATATCGTGTTTGCGTAAGTTTTTTTTTCGTTTAGGTCTTTCTTTCCAACCACGCAGGAAAAACTTAACTAATTTGGAGATTTTTTTTTGTATTTCATATTAATATAGTCGGAACAGTCTATGCTACTTGCAAAGCAAACGGCTATCCTTGTTTAAGTATAAGCGAATATTTACTACATTATCAGCCTTTTTTTTTGCAGCAAAGCTTAGAAAATCAAAATTAATTAAAATATTTTTATTTCTAAATATAATTTGCGTTTTTATTAAGGAAAAATCTTTTTTTTTTACTTTTGTCTGAGATGCAAAACTTACAAAATTACACTCAGTTTACGAATACCAGTCCAATATACTTTTCGATTTGAACAACAATTTTTTATCAGCAAAAACAAATTTCTTTTTATTTATGTCAGCGGGCTTTTTTTCCAAGTTTCAATTGAATTTTGTCGAATTGTCTGTGAAAAAAGGTTTAATGAAGATTTTTTTCATGAGTATCAGTCGGATGTGCAACATGGTTACATTTTTTTTTCGAAAATAAAGGTTATTTTTAAATTTAATTGGTTATTATTATTTCCTAGTTTACACTTAAATTCATCTAATTATTTGATAATGAGGCTCTACAAGATCATTAAGTTCGTATATTTTTCTGCGATACGCGTCACACTTGAAAAAAAATCTAGACCATGATTCAGTTTTTTTTACCTGAACAAATTTTTATGGGTTCCATTCCACCTTGAATGATCCGAATTTTTCTGCTAATAATGCAATAAGTTAGAACTTTTTTTCTATTTTGCAAATATTTTTAGATAGATATACGTCTATTTAGAGTACAATAGTTGTTTTTTGGGGTATACCGAAAATTATATGGATAGGAAAGTGAATTTTGCCCAGGATTTTCATGGTTCGATTTGTGTAATGTCTGTAAAATTTGACTTCAAGCTGTTTTTTGATGTTTTTTACTAAAATTAAGATTTTTTTTATTGTCGCTCGTTGCTAGTTTTCTTTTGTTTTTGCGACGAGCACCTTTGGCTCTTTGTAGTGTTTTTTTTCTAACAGGGGAGCGGTGGTGAAGTGGTTACATCTCCGCCTCTATCTAAAGGTCGGATGTTCGAGGCCCACCATGATCCGTGCTCGTTGCCCAGAAAATTAAACAAAAAATTTTTATGTAGTTCTTAAACAGGGGCACAAAAGCGGTTCGACGTGATGAGCTGTACAGCTCTTGTGTTGGTCCTTTCCTCCGTGGATAAATGGTCTTAAAAATAACAGCTTTTAAAAGGCATAAATCAAGTTTTCCGTTTTTTTCAGCAAGTTTAACACTAATTTGTGATTTTTATAAGATTAAACTTGGTTGATATGTCATTTTTTATTTGTGCGCGAACTAGGCAGTCTTTTTGAGCTATACAGCACGACTATAAATTTAACTTTGAGTTTTTAAAGAATTGTAGTTTTTGAAAATTCATTATTCAGTAAACTTTGCGGTTTAAAGTTTTTTGGAGCTGTTAGGTACTAAAAAATAATGCCTGAAACCTATTCGAAAGGGCTTACATTGCTTCTCTGGTTTGAAAAGGGGTCGCTTCGCCCTCCAAAAGTTCATCTTTGTATTAGAACTAAAGGAAAAAGTTAAATTAAATTTCAATCTCAGTATTAGAACTAAAGGAAAAAATTTAAATTTTAAGATATTTTTCAAGGGATTTCACTGGCGGAAACTACAACATTCAACCTCGTGACAATTTTTCCCCTTTTGCATTAGTGGGAAATAATTAACAAGATCTACTTGTCACATGACCGAGAAACATTGATGCTCATTCCATCTTCTATTGTTAAACTTATATTTGTATGGAGATGATGATAGCCTGAATTTATAACATGGAATGTTTCTGGATTGGAATTGAAACTTCTAGCTATTTTCTTTCATGTTCATTACTTTTAAACGGCTACAGCAGAACTTATGCCTGTATTAGTTGTAATTACAACATCGGTGTTGTATTGATAGAAGCTAGATTTACACGTTCATAGTATTTTTTCATCATCTTGAGTAGATTTGAGAGCTTCAAATATTTTTTTTATTTCCCAAAAGGGCATCTTTGAAAATAGGCGATAATTTTCAAATCATATTTTGTAAAAAAATTTAGAGCACTGAAGGTAAACGTGAAATTTCGCATTATTATTGCCAGGTTATGTTTTCAGATTTTGATGTCTTGTTGATTTGACATTTCGAACGACAACATATTGCCCCAGTTGAATCTAAGTGGTTTCTATCTATCTCATTTGACTACTAAAGTATCAGTTCTACATTTACACATGCGGGCCAAAGTTGAAAAGGTAGATGTGGATACTGAGACTGTTGAGCCCAATGAAGTTTCGCCGATGGAGGAGGAAAATGATAAAAACCGTAATTCTGAAATTTTGAGTTGCAATCTTCAGGTTTCATCACCTTCGGAATTTTGAGAAATGTCCGATAAAATCAAGCTACAATGTATTTTTTTGCAGAAGTCTCATTAAAAATCAAAAGATAGGTAAATTTTCCGTAGCCTTGTGCGACAGGTCTTTATTGCCCTGTGATGGATGAGCCACTGCTCTCGTCTGAATTTAATGAGACTTTTTTAAAGTTTGGGTTTGGCTGGAGGTTAAAAAGTTTTAGCGCAGTTTGACGTGTAAGAGAAGAAGAACTGCAATTTTTCGTTTATTTTTCTGCATTACGCGTTACACTTAAAAAAAAATTTCAAGACGATGATTTAGTTTCTTACCTGAATAAGTTTTTATGGGTTCCATTCAACCTTGAATGATCCAAATTTTTCTACTAAGAAGGCAATACGTTAGAACTTTTTTTTCTATTTTGCAAATAGTTTCAGATAGATATACGTCTAGTTGGAGTACATGAGTTGTTTTTTGGTGTATGCCAAAAACTATTTGGTTATGTAAGGTGAATTTTGCCCGGGAATTTCATGGTTCGAATTATGTCATGTCTATGAAATTTGACTTCAAAAGCTATTTTTTGTTGTTTCACACTGAAAATAAGATTTTTTAATTGTCGCTCGTTGCTTGTTTTCTTCTTTGTTTTTGCGACGAACACCTTTGGCTCTTTGTAGTGTTTTTTTTTGTCTAACATGGGAGCGGTGATGAAGTGGTTACATCTCCCCCTCTCTATCTAATGGTCGGATGTTCGAGGCCCACCATGATCCGTGCTCGTTGCTTGAGGGTGAATCAACATTACCCAGCCCAGAAAATTAAACAAAAAAATTTTATGTAGTTCTTAAACAGGGGCACAACAGAGGTTCGCCGTGATGAGCTGTACAGCTCTTGTGTTGGTCCTTTCCTCCGTGGATAATTGGTCTTAATACAAACAGCTTTTAATAGGCATAAATCAAGATTTCCGTTTTTTTTTCAGCAAGTTTAACACTAATTTGTGATTTTTATAAGATTAAACTTGGTTGACATGCCATTTTTCATCTGTGTGCGAACTAGGCAATCTTTTTGAGCTATACTGAACGACTATAAATTTAACTTTGAGCTATTAAAGAAATGTAGTTTTTGAAAATTCATTATTCAGTAAACTTTGCTAGTTGATGTTTTTTGCAGCTGTTAGATACTACAAAATAATGCCTGAAAACCATTCGAAAGGGCTTACATTGCTTCTCTGGTTTGAAAAGGGTTCGCTTTTTCCTCTAAAAGTTAATCTTTGTATTAGAACTAAAGGAAAAAATTAAATTAAATTTCATTCTATGTATTGGATCTCAAGGAAAAAAGTTAAATTTTACGTTATTTTCCGAGGGATTTCTGTAACGGAAACTGGAACATTCAACCTCGTGACAAAATTTTCCAACTTTGCATTAGTGAGAAATTATTAACAAGATCTATTTGTCCCATTACCGAAACATTGATGCTCATTCCTTCTTCTATTGTTAAACTTACATTTGTATGGAGACGTCGATCGCCTGAAGATGTTACATGGAAATGTTTCGCTATTTTCTTTCATTTTCATTACATTTAAAAGGCTACAGCTGAACTTATGCCCGTATAAGTTGTAATTACAACATAGGTGTTGTATTGATGTTTGAAATTAATTTGAAGATGACTTTGAGAAGATAGATTTACATGTTCATAGTGATTTTTTATCATCTTGAGTAGATATGAGAGCTTAAAATCATTTTTTATCCGAAAAGGGCATCTTTGAAAATAGGCGATAATTTTCAAATCATGTTTTGTAAAAAAAAAATAGAACTCTGAAGGTAAATGTGAAAGTTCGCATTATTATTTCCAGGTTTTGTTTTCAGATTTTGATGTCTTGTTGATTGGACATTTCGAACGACCGCATAAGCCCCAGTTGAAACTAAGTCGTATCTATCTATCTCATTTGACTACTAAACTATCTGTTCTCTTTGAACAAAGCATTGTGAAGATTTTGAAATCACTTTGAAGTTCTACATTTTTGTGATAAAAAATGGCGGCCAGCGTAGAAATGGTAGATGTTGATGCTGAGACTGTTGACCCCAATGAAGTTTCGCCGATGGAGGAGGAAAATGATGAAAACCGAAATCCTGAAATGTCTGAATTGCAATCTTCAGGTTTTATCGCCTTTGGAATTTTGCAAAAATGTTCAATAAAATCAAGCTACAATGCAGGGGCGGATTTGGGGGGTGGGGGATGCAGCCGCTTCCTTTGTCAGGGATTTGATCCCATGCCGAACCAAAGGGTCCCCCCTTGGTACTATTTTGAGATACCCATTTTTGGCTGACTGACACTAAAATTTTTCTAAAGGCGCCAAAATATACTAATTTTAAGGGGGCGCGCGCGCCGAAAAAACGCGATTTTTTGGTCAACTTTTTCCAAAAAGTGCCTAAAACGCCTTTTTTGCCTGTTTTTCATAATTTTGCCTGCGGCGCAGAATTTTTGGCCAAAACAGGGTCTTTGTAGTGCTTTGGGAGAGCTCAGAAAATCAATTTTGGTCGGCCTAAAAAAAGGTTGACAAAATTTTCGAATATTTTTTGAAAATCCGCGCTCCCCTCCAGAAAATCCTAGATCCGCCCCTGCTACAATGTATTTATTTTTTGCTGGTCTCATTAAAAATTAGAAGATTATAACTTTCACGCAGTTTTGTGCGACACGTCTTTATGTTCCTGTGATGGATGAGCCACTTCCCTTGTCTGAATTTCATGAGACTTGTCAAAGATTTTAAATTTGGCGTTGACTGGGTTTGACTAACGTGTAAGAATCTCAAATGCTTAAAAACACAATAGCTCACTATTTAGAAACACAAAGGCTTTTAACCATTTTAGTTTCGGTCGCAGCTAAAGAGTCATTTTTACTCGAGTCCAACCCAAACACTGAAGATGAGCATCAAATATCGGAGCAATCAGTCGAAAAGTCCGATGAATCAGAAAAAGATGGACCTACACAAGAAAAGGTGAATGAATAAATACTGTTATGATTTGAAATTTATTAACATAAATTTTCGGCTTGTTGGAATGGTAATTTTTTTTTCGGTTTGTTGGCCCTTCGGCTTGCCGGCCTATCGCCGAAGCTACGCTCAATTATTTCGACCGCGTTATTTTTTTGTGTTTGCCACGAAAATATTTTGAAATTCGTTAATACGCGATTTTATATCTTGGTCGTATTTTGAAGAAAATTTCGCTTTAAAATAATTTGCGTAATGGCCCTTCGATGGTTTCAAATTGCAAACCGTGGTGCGAAAAAATGGGCCATTTTGAGTTTCAGCCGGCGTTTTTTTTTCAGATTACCAGTGAAATCGAAGTTTTATCTTTGGATCCAGTTTTCTCGAATTGTTTTTAGAGCAACCTTTTTGGGTCCTTTTGTCGTCTCGATTTTTTTGAAGACTTCAACTAAAAATTTGAAGTTTTGTATGAATGGCCTTAAACTTTTTCCTTCCTCATAGCGCCAAAAGAAATAGGAAAATGTGAGGTATAACAATCTAAAACTAGAGTCCAATTCTGAAGTACTATTTTAATGTTCTAAGGACATGTCTGCTGTTCCTGAAATCAGTCATGGAACTCCGAATGAAAATAATTCGACCGAAAATGAGCAAACGGAAGATAATATTTTCGCACTCGGGGAAGCAAATGACGATGAAGATAATGACATGGAAGAAAGTGAGATAGAAAAAGAAAACATCACTGAGAATATTCCTGAAGAAATTGAAGGTGATTTTTATTAATTTTTGTTTTCTTGTGTCGCTTGAGCTGAATTTTTGGGATAGTCTGAATTGACATGAAACTATCTAAAAGAAACAAAAGTTGACGAACATATGTATCTTAAGCTGAATAGGTTTTACAGTGTTTTTAAAATTAATTAATCTCTCAAGATTTGTTAACTTATTGTCTCGATTTGTAGAAAAATTATTTTGTTGTCCTTAGTCGTCGAAAATTTGATGTTTTTTAGTTGAACAAGACGAGAATGTTCTAGAACAAGACAATGAAGAGGAGGAAGAGAACGAGAAATTGACTGTGTTCCCATTGGCCAAAATCAAGAAGATTATGCGTACAGACCCTGACACGCACTTGATTTCGAAAGAAGCCATTCTGCTCACAGCCAAAGCAACGGTATCAGTAGGGTGTTTACCGAGTTATAAACTCCGCGCGTTATTGTTCAGACTTGAAGAAATTAACGGATTATTGGTGCTCGGGTGGTTTTTTCTTCAGAAAAGTTTCGATTTTTAACTAGCCATTTTTGACAAAATTTCTTCATATCATCTGAAAGGTATTGTTATCCTAAGCTCAAATAAAAAAGACATTTCATCTGCGATCTTTTTTTGTTAAGTTATGGAGGTTTAAAGATTGCCAATTTGGGACAACTAACGCTCGATATAGTTACCGCTATTAACGCGTAAGCGGTCATTTAATCCGTCTTAGAAATCGTTCCAATTTGGTTGAAGGAAGCTTATTTGCAATAATTGATTTGTTACTAGAAGCGAAATTTATTAGTTTGTACTTTATTTGGCGTCTACATTTAGTTTTTCCATGTTACTGTTGCTCCATAGACCTTAAGAGGCAGTCGGACATTCAGGGCTGTGCCCTGACACGAGTAGTCTTGTATGATTTGCATTCCGTTGCATGAGTCTTGCAAGATATTTGCATTCCAAGCACTGCAGGGAATTGATTTGTTGTTGAAAGAAACCTCGCAACCAATACCCCAATTCAATTTTTCTAACCAGTTTTTTTCCAAGGATATGACATGCTTGCGGAGTTTTGAAAAAAAAAACCAAACGCAGGTCAAAATTTCATCGAATGTCGGACCACTAAAATTTGTGATTGATCATTTTTAGTCTTTGAAAAATTTGGAGATCTATCAAAAGAAGAAATTAAACAAAGATTAATTCCCCTGCGCAAAATTATCTATGTATTTTTTATGTTCTTTATGCTTAGAAACGGGCGGATTTAGGGGGGGAGCCCTAAATCCCCCATCCCCCCTCACTCATAGATTTGAACCCCTGCCGACCCAAAGGGTCCCTCTTCTCACATTAGATTCGGATTAGCTTTATTAGTCAGAATGCCCATATTTGTAGCCACTGAACATTTAATAGTATGTTTTTTTAATATTTTGATAGCAAAAGTTATAATTGTATACTTCGCTTGTTGGAAAAGGAAAAAGAGCTTTTTCAGCGAATGTTCAAACTCAAGATTGCTGATGTCAGCAAAAGAGCAATCAAATTATGCAGAGCAGTCAAATTGGTTCACGCTTCATCAGTTTTGTGCTTTTTTCAGTTAACCAGCCAAAGGCCTAGCCCGAAGGTTTATTATTTAAGGTTAACAAAGCTATGGCTATCCTACAAGAGCTCACTTGTAAATTGTAGCGCAGGTGCGATTTGAACCCGCAATCATATGATCGCTGGGCACCATCATCACCGATTCGCCACAACGCCTCTTGTGCTTCTTGAGTTTTCGAACTTGACTTTCTGATTCATTTTCGATTTCAGGAGCTCTTTCTCCGTGAGTTTGCATCCTTCTCCTACGAAGCACTTAAAGAGACAAAACGGAAAACGATCAGCAAGAAAGAATTCGGTTAGTTAAAAGTTATAGGATCTCTCTAATTATGGTATGTAGTAACGGCTTGCCATCCATATATAGAACTAATTAAACGATTAAGCATATGTGGATTTTTGTAACTAGTAGCGAATCTCCCCTTTTTTTTGCAAAAAGGGGGAAATAGTTAAATAAATTCAAAGTTATATATTAATTGAATTTTGATCGAGTAGAGTAGTTATGTCCGAATTTATTGATTGCACTAAGCTGAACAAAAAATCATTCTTTACATTTTTGTTGAATGTAAAATCAAAGTTCTCGAAAGATCTCTCAAAAGCAACTAGAAAAGCAAAAATTGGAAAGGTTTGGTGTAAACGTTAACGCGGATAAACCTACTTGATTAGTCAAACTGAAGGCTGAGCAATAAGAAGATTGGTATAAGAGCAGAATAAAGAATCCAAGAGCAGAAAAACAGAGAATAGTAATTTTTAGAAGCTAATTGGTAACACAAGTATTAAACATTTGAATATCACCAAAGAAACGGATACATCATGCTTAAACTAAGTAACTTGATCAATATTTTTTGAAATTTGATGAAAAAACATTGGATCTCTATTACTATCCCCCCTCTTTGCAAAAGGGGGATATTTGTTACAAGGCACAAAAACGTATAAGTCTAACCGCTGAATTATTTCATTATAGGGGTGGCTCCAAAGGGGGGAATAGCTAAAGAGATCCAAAACATTTTGATAAAATTAATGTATAATTTATTCATTTCCTTGGTAGTATTGGTAATCCTAACAATTTTTATATCAATTAGCCCGTATAAATCATGATTTACATGTATATAAATGCAAATTGTACTGCTAACAAATTGAAACTAAGTTTAATAGTAATTTTGCTTGTTTTAGATGCAGTTCTAGAATTAGTTGAGTCATACTGCTTTCTGGATGGTAAGTTTCTCGTTTGGAAAAAACTCGTTTTAGTCGAATTTTAACCTAGCTTAGATATACGCGAGAAAAGGACATTTGATATGTAAGAAGGAAAGGTTCCGACCACAGTTATTTTTGAAAAAAAAATATTTGAAAATTTTTTTTTTCAAATTGTGTTTGTTTTTATTTTATTGCGAGGAGCAAAAAAACATCGAATTATTTAAATGCTGAAAAACAAATTGTCTAATTAAAGTTTCATTCCAATCAAAGCAATTATTTCTAGCTAGTTGTTGAAAGTTGAACAATTTCAGGTATTTTCTACGAACAAACGACAGCATCATCTGCAGCCGCTCCACAAGAAATAGATGAAAGTTTAGATGTAGAGAATGCCGTTACAACTGAAATTCGAGAAAAAGAAACTACGACTGAGGAAAGCACGGAAACCTCCGAGTCATTGCAAACTAGCGATTCGTTGCAGCAAATGGAAGCGAATAAATCAGAAATGAGTGTAGAAGAGTCACAAACTTGAACATAATAAAAAACAAACTGAAAATGTTGAAAATGAACTTGAACTCTCGTAGATGTAAAAACTTTGGATGTAATGAGTAGGGTATCAGAAATCTGGTATACATGCAAATCTGAATCATGCTATAGTTTCAAATACTGATTAAAATAACATACAGCGAGAGTTCGTTTGATTTAAAAGATGATTTCAATGAAAAATGCAATGTCTGCTTGTTTGCTCTTCTGGTAATTTTTTATTCTAATTTTGGAATTAGTTGATTGTTTGTAATTTGAATTCAATTGTGTTAAAAACTTTTAATTGAACTTTATTAAAAACTGTTTCCTTCCATCATAATTCAGAAGTTTTCCTAGCGAAAAAAATTACGCCGAAGGATAACCATGTGGAGAAGTGCGCAAGGTGAAGGGCTGGAACATTTGGATTAATGAAGGTTGGACACATTTCAATGAGTTCAAAATAGCCTATCCGCCACAAATAATGATAAGCGTTTATCAGCCTTGGAGAGATATTTTTTCCGAGCCCCGTCAATTAAAAAACAATTGGCCAATTAATTGGACACAAAATTTGCCCAATTGATTTTGCCAAATCAATATGCCAAAGGTTTGAAGCGTTTAAGTTTTAAAAACCAATTATTCGAAGAAATGGCCAATTAGTCGGCAATTTTGAATTATCAAACCCAAAAGCTACGAAATAATTGCCATGTATCATAGCTATGATTGATCTTAAAATCATTATGCTAAAGGAGAAACAAGGTGATTACTATTGAATCGTGTGCTTAAGAAGACTTCAAAATATATTCAACAAATGACCACTTGTTGTTCAAAAATTTGAATATCGCTTTAACTTAAAAAACTGCTGCACCAAATAGAAAAATATCAATTCATTTCAAATTTTATTAAAATTCTATATTAATTTTTTGCAGTTTAATTTTCTTTTGTTTTGATTTAGCCTTTGTAACGTGAAAGGTGTCCCGGTAAATCTTCAAAAACATCTCTGCTGGCAGCCTCACATTGAACATAGGTCAGTTTTAGCTCATTTTTTTAATATTCAGTATCTTGATTGTGCAACTGAATATCAGATAACTCGATCAGATGAAAAAACAACAGAGACAAACCACAGTTTCTTAAACCAAGACATCTTGATTAAGTGGTTTTTTTTTCAGCCTTTTGACTTATTAGGTTTTTTGCTTTTATTTAGAACAACTGGTGTGTATTCAATCGGCAAAACTTAAGTATTCGCAATTTCATTTGAAGTTTGTTAACCAGCAGTATATCAGGACTGAAAATGTAGAAGTTTTTTCTTTGACCTAGCTTCAATAAAGATAGAAAAAAGGATTATGGAAAAAAAAACTTCAGAAATTTCGAAATTTTTTTCAGCCAATTAGTTATTTATTTATTTAAGCTAACAAACCAAGAATCTATTGTAAAAAACAAAATGTAAAATATTTTAAAAATTTATAGCATAAACTGATTTCATAAACCTTAAAAAATTGTAACCGCAAATCAGTTTCACTAGCTTTTTCATTTTTTTCAAATTCGAATTCTGAAATAAATTTAATATGATAACATACTCACTTCAGTACAATTAAATTGAAAAAAAAATTGATTTGTTGGAAAAAAAATAATCTCAGCCAAGTCCATAGTTTCTTCTCACACCAGAAGAGTTGGGTGGAAGCTGAAACTTTCTGGTTCAAAAAATTAGATTAAAAACGCTCAGATAACAACGCTCTTAGTGAAGTGATATTTCATATAGTATAAAACTCACACAGTATAGAACCATTAAGCATACATTTTGTGAAAGTTGCTAACAAATTTGCTCTAATTTACGTATATAGTATTTCATATCATAGCTCAAAGGGAACGGAATTGCAAAAATTTTGTGATGATGTAGTTTATTTAAGTCGCCAGAGTAATCCTGTGCGATCAAACGGAGATCAAAAGATGCATTTAAAGTTTCATCTTGGACTTCCTTCCGAATCTATCAATAATATCACTAAGACAAGTGAAATTGCTATAAAATGATAGCAAGATCGCCACGCATTGCTCCTTCTCTGTTTCGACTTTCGAATAAAACGGAATAATTATGCTTGGTATGGTTGTTTTATTCACTCAATTTTTGGCAATTGAAATAATAGTTTTAACAAAAAAAAATTATTTTCTATTGAAGGTATTGACTCCTTGAAACCAAATGTAGAAACAGACTTCTGCTCCAAACAGCTTTTTGAAAATTCTGGGATTTTGAAAATTGCCAGTTTGACCAAGTTCTGGACTAAATCATGCGCCTATGAAGATTTTATTCACACTGCTGATAGTGTAACGCAAATTATTTATGCGTGTTGAAATATTTTGCACAACAAAATTGTTCCAAATTGAAATGAGGCTAGCTATTTGGTCTTATTTTTTGTTTGATTCAAATAGTTTTTCAATATTTCGTATTTCTTTTATTTCTTATTGTTTTCAATATTTTCTTTTACCATAATTATTCGATATGGATTCAGAAGCAGTTGGAGAACTCAGGACTTTGCCCTGATATACGAGCAGCCTTTTTGGTCCTTTGTGTGCTGCTGGTTGACAACGTGAGTTACCGTCAGCAAATGAGTGTCTTCAACAATTTTTGAAGGGGCGTCTCAGACCATATTTTGCAGCAATGGTTTTAAAGTATTTAATTAATTAGTTTTAAAGTATATGTCACGTTTTGAGCTATTCTAAAGATTGTCTCCATTTCTTTCCCCTTGAATGCCGTAAATTTTATCTATGTTTTCATTTTGATAATTATTTCGACTTTTAAGAAAATGACGGAATATTTTTTTACAGAATAATGGTTTTTTATATTTTTACGGAATAAATTCCGGATTATTTTTTATTTGGGGTGTTTTTTTTCTCCAGACAAATTTCGACTTTTTAATTAGCCATTTACGAAAAAAAAAATTAAAAAAAACGTATTTCACCTGTCATAAGGATTTAAAGTTTGTGATTGAGACTTAAAGTTTGGGATTTAAAGGCTGCATTTTCTGGCCAATTTAGGTTCAGTAGCTCGCAATTTTTTTGCACTATTAACGCGTAAGCGGAGATTTATTCCGTCTTATAAATCGTTCCAAATTGGCTGAACCAAGCTATTTGCCATGATGGTTTTGTTACTCGGAGCAAAATGTATCATTTTTACTTCAAATGGCGTATGGGGAGTTTTTTAATTTTCAATTTTTTTCTTCGAAAAAAGCATCAATTTTTATGAGGCGAGATAAATGCTCCATAAACCTTACAATACCGTTGGAACATTCAAGGTTTCGCTCTGATACGAGCGGTCGTGTTTTTTTTCTGTCCAAAGGCGGTTCACTTAGTACAAAGGCATAAATTAAACGAGCTTCTTTTTTCGTTATACGTGAGTGCATTCATGTGCTGTTGAAAAAACTAAATAATTTTTTGAATGAAACTTCTGATGTTAACGGTTAACTGAACCAAACTAAACTAGAGTCAATTTTAAAAACAAAACCATCGGTAATTTTGCCGCTTGAACCAATTTTGAGGTTGGATAGTTCCGTTGAAAGTCTAACAATTTATTAGTAGATTTTTCCGTGTTTCATTTTTTGTCACTTTAGTAAAATTTTTTTTTATAATGTTCACATGAATTCACATGATGTGTTGCCGAAGCAACTACATTTTTCCCAATCTTTGTAAATCAAAAGAAACTGTGATCAAACATTTGAAGTCTCTGTTTGTGAAACAAGCAGTTTGAAAAAATTAGCCACCTCAAATCAAAAATTGTACAATAAATTTGTTTCATTAAGCAAAAAATTATTCGAGACCAGTTAATGGACGGTCGGAACATTCAAAAGAAACTGTGATCAAACATTTGAAGTCTCTGTTTGTGAAACAAGCAGTTTGAAAAAATTAGCCACCTCAAACCAAAAATTGTACAATAAATTTGTTTCATTAAGCAAAAAATATTTCGAGACCAGTTTATGGACAGTCGGAACATTCAGGGCGTTGCCCTGGGACGAGCAGTCTTGTTTACGCTTGCTGCTATCAATCAAAATCAGTTCTAAGTTTGCTCAAGATGCTAATTGATTGCAAAATGAAGGAAACAGACCAAACTTATGGAAGCTGTCGATCGCTATATTGTCAGTCGCTTGATCCAATTCCAAATCAGTCGTGATGATAATCTATCTAATCACTTTTCCAATATTCCGGGCATGAAAAAACAGGAGATCAGTTACGGATCTGATGTTCTCTCGAGGGGTAAAAGAAAAAAGTGATTTTAAAAAATTGAACGACAATTTTTATAATTGTTAAAATTATTTAAAATTTTTTTTCGGCCGACAATGTTTGTTTATTAAAAAAACAAGCTAAAAACAAAAATTTTTGGCTATTTTGGGGAAAATTAAAAATATATATGCTCTGAAGGTTTTTTAAAACAATTTTATGGTCAGTCAGCCGAAGCTAGATCAGGTAAAATAGAACCAAGAGGTGATCATCTGGGTTATTATTGTTTTGGAATTTTGTTGAAAGGTTTAGGAAGTTTGTATATGTTTAAACTCCCAAGTAGTTAGTTATTTCCCTTGAGTAGGTTCAAGTAGGAAGAGCCATAATCTTTGGCGCATGCTTTGGCTTTGTTTATATTTCATGTTTTAGCGCATAGTTTAATGAAGTGTAATTTCGAATAGGTTAACTGAAATGTAATTTCATTACTCAATATATACAGTCATAAAAAATGCGTCGTTACTTAAATCAATGCTTCGACATTATGTTAGCTTTTATCTGCGCCACCTACGTCATTCTGGAACGGTATTGTTCATTTTAATCCAGAGACGACTTGTGAAGAAATTCTTTTAAGCCTAAATGACAAAATAGGCAGTTATTAAAAATTTGCCCATCCGAATTTTTATGTTTGTGACAGGCCGAGCTTTTTTTGTTCCGACTTTCGATACGAAACTAACGGAATATTTGTGCTCGGGGTGGGTTTTTTTTCTTCAGACAAATTTTGACTTTTTAACTAGCCATTTTTGACGGAATTTTTTTTATATCATTCGAAAAGAATTGTTGACCTGAGCTCAATTTTGAAAAGATGTTTTACCTGTGATCATTTTTCGTAAAGTTATGGGGGTTTAAAAGTTGCCATTTTGGCCAATTTGGGACAATTAACGCGCGATATATTTCGCGCTATTAACGCGTAAGCGTAGATTTAATCCGTCTTAGAAATCGTTCCAAATTGGTTTAACGAAGCT